AATGTATATTTATATTTTATTTATTTATTTTACTGTGCTATATATAAATAGATTTACATGCAAGACGCACGCGAATTCGCTCTGCCCAATTGTTTACTCCCAGCTTAGTTAGTTAGTTTAACTATCTGCCGCCGTAGCAAAAAAATGAAATTTCCCTTGAATGTCGTGAATTCCATCCATTCGACACAAACTCAAATATGCACTATGACAAATTAAATCAAACAAAAATGTTTTATTATATAAATAAAATACATACATTCAATTTCTGTTCTATCGAATAAATTTCGAGAAACTCACACTAATATAATTTTATCGTTACAATTATTATATCGTTACGATAAATTATTATATAAATATATTTATTAAAATACTAAGAATAATATGATATTAATAGCAATAATAATAATAGTAATATAATTCATAAATCGTTCAAATTTTTCCACACTTAAATAATATTACTATTATTAATTATTTATTTACTGTACATAATATAACCATGTTTAATACATACATACATATATCTTAATCACAATTTTCGTATCTATTTAAAGGCCTCGTCGGCAGTGACTACGAGGAACAGCTTAAGCTCCTCCATGAGCTCTGGTTCACCCCGTATTCCCGGGGTAAAGGCATTTTGGGCAGCTCCAGCTTCGAGCACGTCTTCATGGCGGAGCTTCGGGATCAGAATGTGCTAGGCATGCACAATTGGCTGTACTTTGCCGAGCAGGAGCAGCAGGGTCACGTGGACTACAAGGGCTGGTTGGATCGGGAGGAGACGGGAAGAGTGCGTTCAACAACTCTATTCTATTTGATATTAATTCCATTCATTTATAAAATTCCGTTTGCTTATAGCCCAATCAATTCGCGTTGGCCGTGCGCATGAGCTTCTTTGGCATCAATAAGTCGTATATAAGCTTCTTGGTCGGCACTTCGCCAGAGCTGGAGCTGAGTCTATATACAGTGTGCTTCCTAGCAACGCCCAAGAATGAGCCTTGCGAAATCCAGCTGGACAAGGCCAAGTTGTCAATCGTATCACATGTCTGGGATTGGAAGGGCAAGAAACTGATAGCGTCTGCCTATGTGCAATTTGACTAGAGGCCACAATATGAATCTCAAGCAACAGGAAGTATATACTATATTCATTTATATATATATCAAAGTTTAGCAGAGTTTTAGAATCGTTAGCTGGATGTAATTATGTTAAATAGGCTTTTAGATATTCCGACAGCTAAATTTCTATTTGAAAAAAGTGCTTTCCTTATAATGGAAGAACTCATTTTAATTAGCAAAAGTAATTTCATAATCTGTGTAGAGAAAATGGGCCTAAATTATTATCAAATTTTCAACATTTCCTTAGTAACATTTCGCATCCAGCATTTAGAAAACGTAATTCAGACAGAATATAAATGCGCAGCTAAAATTATTTTTGTAAGACAACTCATGCCCATAGTTCAAGTAAAATCCTTTGAGTTGTGAACTTCAGTGTGTGAGGCTAAAGTATGTTTAGAGTATTTCAACATGGATTCTTTTTTTGATGGATGATTCTGTTTATCTGTTTAGAGTATAAAATTTTCAACAACATTTCTTAAGTAACATTTTCTATTCAGTATTCCGCCCAAGTATTTGAAACAGGATACTAAATTATTTCCCATGCTCAAGTAGTAGTTCAACTGAATTCCTGTCAGTTTGTGAACTTTAAGTACTTCTTGGGCTATTATGAGCTCGGAATTAGCGAGTTGCTGATGCCTTAAGTGCGTGCCAACGCCAATTTCCTGGGCCTGTCACTCAGTCGCACTGGCTGGCATTTGAGTTCTTTTGACAGGTTTGCATGATATTAGCGCCCTCGCAATTCTATCATTCAGTTTATTATTAATTTCAACATTTTCTTGACTTGCATGGAGAACTAATGACCTCCAATACCAGATTGACACTTGACATGGAGGGTAGCTATAGGAGCTATCGCACTCAAACAAAAGCCATTAGCAATTTAATTCATAATTATTTGTTAAGAATTATTGTCACGAAGCTTAAATTTAGCGATATATATTAATTTGAGCCTAAATCATTTGTATTGTAAATTATAAATTTGATATGTCTTTTCGTATGTCCAATTTCTGTTTGTCAAAATGTTTTGATACGTATTTAACTAAACCGAATCTCAGGCTTATTGCTTAAAATTAAATAAAACTCACTGTCGTCAAGTTGATGGAATTAAATTTATATTGCATTTAGAAATTGTTGTAATTACAAAATGTTAATATCAAATATGGATTATTTGTTCAAGCCCATCCGAAACATATGAGTGGAATAGTATTGAAAGTCTCCCTAGCGGAGTGAACTGGAAAACTTGTGCTTACAACTACTGCGATGCACGATAGTCACGATCATGGTCACGCTCAATGATCACCGTCTCGTTGGCGATGTCCAGTGGATGGCGCTCCAGCTGCTCCTCCACCTCAATAGTTATGGTCTCGTTGACGTCCTGGACGTGCTGCACCATAGCCGGTGCACTCGCTCGACGCACCGTGACAATGGTGGTGTGAGCCGGTGAGAGGCTGGCATCGGAGTCGACGAGCGGCAGGATATATGTTTCACTCAGGTCGGCACAGGAGTAGCCGTCGTCGTCGAGGTTGGAGGCGTCGCTGGAGCGCATCAGACTGGGACTGCTAATGCCGAACTCCAACAGCAGCGGATCGATTGGCGTGAGGTCGTTGGCCTCGGGACTCCAGCTACTTCTTGCCGGCGGCTGGCGCGGCAGACTGTTGTGGCAGAGCGGATTTGCTGCTGCTGCCGCTGCCGAGGACTCCAGCTGCAGCTGCTGGCCCCACAGCTCCGCTGCCCGGGCGCGATTGTTGTCGGCTCGCAGCTGGGGCGACAGCAGCGGCTGCTGTTGCTGCTGTTGCTGCTGTTGCTGGAGGGGATGCGACTGTCGGCGTCGCCGTCGACGGTGGCGATCGGGCGTAGTCCGCCGCAGCGCCGGCTCCTGCCGCTGACTGATACTGCGGCTGGTTGGCTGCGGCTGCGTCTGGCGAGGCATCATACTGATAGCCAGACTGGCCATAGTCAGCGGCGCTGTAGTCGTAGCCAGCGTTGGCATCGTACCCATACTGCTGCGCGTCGTATGGCTGCTGGGAGTAGCCGCTGTTATCGTACCCGCTGGCATCGTACTGCTGCTGATCGTAGGCGCTGTAGTCTGTGTTGTAGGCGGCCAGGTTGACGCTGCCGGTATTGCTGACGCTCGCATCTCCAAGCTGAGACTGTGGCTGTTGTTGCTGTTGCTGTTGCTGTTGCTGCTGCTGTGATTGCTGTTGCTCCGGCTCGCCATTGCTGTAGCGTCGATTGAGCTGTGCTTGCTGCTCCAGTTGCTCGCGCTCTCTTTCCCGCTTTTCGCGCTGCTCTCGCAATTGTTGCAACTCCCGATCTCGCTCCTCCCGTTCGCGTTCTCGTTGCCGTTCGCGCTGTTGCTCCAACTCCTGCTGTTGCTGCTGCTGTTGTTGTTGCTGCTGTTGCTGCTTTTCGCCCATGCCAAGGTTGTCCTTGAGATTTTCGTCATCGTTATCGTTGAGTCCATAACTGCGGCTGCTCTCGGGCAGGAGGCTGCCACTGGCGCTGCCGTTGCTGATGCTGCTCTTGCGCGCTGCTGCAGATGCGCCAGCAACTGTGTTGCTGTTGCCGTTGGCATTGCCGTTGCTGTTGCTGTTGCCGTTGCCGCTGATGTTGCTGGCAGCGCTGCTGTTGTCGGCAACTGTTGCTGCTCCAGCGGCATCGTAGCTGTAGGAGTTGCTCGGCTTGCTGTAGTCGTCGTCAGCGTTGTTGTGCAGTTGTGAGGTGCTTTGTATGGGTTCAATTGTAGTGCCATATGTGGACGGCTGGTAGTCGTATGCGGCTATAGTTACAGAAATTTTGATTAGTGTTGCTGGCCAATTGAATGCAAGGATCTGGTGTAGTATGATCTATGTATGTATGTGTGTGTGTGTAGCTGATTAGTTAAGAGATTGTTGCTGCATGCCACATCCTCTCTGGACCCGTCCATGGCGAAGTAAATTAGTGAGTGTATGAACGAGGCTTGTGTGTTGTTTTCTCTTATTTCTCTTAAGATTTACCTTTGCCTGCGCCTAAGCTAGTATAATCATGCGGTGTAGTATCTAATTTACTCATATGCTCTTCATTGCTCAACATGCGATTAGACAAATATTCTAGATTCGATTGTAAAGCAGATATTTCCTCTCTAAGGACAGCAGAGAGAGAGAGACAGACAAAGAGAAAGAGAAAGAGACACAGAGAGAGAGAGAGGGGAGGGGAGATAAAGAAAGGAAAAGAGAAAGAGAACATTTGTTAGTCAAATACAAATTCTTTATTGCCAATTACCTGGGAGGTGTCAATTTGGTGCATTTTCGATAAACAACTGCGTTCATCATTGGGTGTTGACTCTTCGGAGCTAAGCTCGTTAGCACTATTGCCATTGTGAACTAATTGCGACTTGTATTTACACCAGATTTGCCGTAGACGTGCCATTAGCTGTTCGTTTGTAGCACGTAGCTGTTGCTTGTCTTGACTGAGAAGATTGAGACGAAATATTTGCGAATTGATATTAAAATGTGCGAAAAACAAATCTGATGCAAAAATATAGTACAATAAAATAAAAATGGAAACAGGAATAGAAAGATGTATAAATAGAAATAAATCAAATAATAAAAAAAATAACACTTTTCTTAAATAACCTAATTCTATTTTACAAATAATTGTTTATGCATCGAGTCTTTCAAATATTTTTAATATATCAAATGATATATATATCGGAGAGGAAAATTATTATTTTTTTTTATTATTCTTATTAAATGATGCTATTATGGCTTTTGTTGACCAGAACTTAAATACTAATTATACAAAAAAAAAAAAAAAAACAAAAAAGAGCTTGGAAGGATTAAATTGTAAAGTAAGAAAGCATAAATATTGTATTCATAAATAATTTGCTATTATAAAAATAATATACTAGTTCATTTCATAACATATTGCTCAATGCTTCTATAATATTTTCATATCTTATTAGTTATATTCGGACATAAAATGCAACAATAGGCAATCCGATCTACCAGCAAAATAGTAATATTCTTTCCTTAATTTTCTTAAAGATATTTTCTAAATTCAGCACTTAAATGTTTTCAATATAATTACATATTTAAATTGAATTTGAATTGTAATTTTTATTTACAATAATTATATTTGCGGTGCTAGCAAATTATTGACGAAATTAATTAAGAAAAAAAAAATAAACAAACAATTTTTACATAAATAACAAAAAATAATATAAATGTTCTTTTCCATTTTAGCTATAACACAATTTTTTCAATGGATTCTTGAAACAAGTCAGGAAAATAAATAAATGATTACCAATGCTCAAAGCAATTACAAACCTTAACTAAAATTAGCTTTCATTAGGATAAACAAAACATATTTCTTTTATAAGAACAAACTAATTTCTTCTAGAAATAATAAATTGCTTGTATAAGAAAAAATAGTTTAAATCAAAGAAAACCTAATTCATTATATATTTCTTCTATAAGAAAGGTAACAAATCTCTTTTACAAATAAAAAATTGATTAAATCAAAGAAACCCCATATGCATTATATAATAAGCGGCTAACTGTAATAACAGTTTGGATCTTTAAAAAATTTTATAAATGGGTAACATTTTATATAAGAGACAAATATTGATAGTTTGTTTTAGATATTCAAATAATTTAAAATAGTTGTAAAAGGAATAAAAAATGTTTCATAACGAATATAGAATACACTAAAAAATGGTTTGGCTATACTTCTATGTTTCTATGTAAATTGCCAGCTAGTTGGTGATGTGTTTTCGGAATGAAAAGGTATTGGTGTGTGTTTTTTGTTGTTGGGTATATTAACATTATCAAAGTTTGGTGGCCTGCTCCTGGTCGTTGTCCTCGACGTCATCATCGATGACATCCTCGAATTGGGCTAGTTGTTCATCGATTTTGGCCAACTCTGGCGAGGATTCCTTGACGAAAGTCTCGTTTAGGGCTTGCGCCACTTCGTCCAGCTCTTGGACAAATGTTTCATTGAGTGCATTGACTTTTGGCTGTGACTGTTTCGACTGCTTCGCCTGCTTGGGCACCAGGCGCACGTTGACATCAACTTTGACGGGTGGGCGTGGCTTCTTGTGGCAGCCATCGCGCTGCAACAGTTGCTCAAAATAAAGCTTTGGCTTGATGCTGGCATTGAGCGCATTGCTGTTGCGGCCTTTGCATGTTGCTGTTGATGCTGCTGCTGCTGCTGTTGCTGGTGTTGCAGTTGCCGTTGCAGTTGCTGTTGTCTCAGTGTCCACCGTCAAATGCGAGCTTTGACATGGGGCCTGACAGCTACTGGCACTGCTGATGGTCTGATTCAAAACCAGATGCTGTTGCAGCCAAGGCAACAGCTCCGTTTTGCATGGATGACAGCAGCTGGCCGATTGCTGGGCAGCTGCAGCTGTGCTTGTTGCTGATGTTGCTGGTGCTGTGCAATATTGTTGCTGTGGCTGATGTGGCTGGTGGTGTGTGTCTAGGGTGAATTCATGAGCGTGACAATGCATGCTCTTGCTGTGTGTGGTTTGTGTACGCGCTGTAGCTCCTCGATTGCGACTGTTGTTGTTGGCATTGCTGTTGCTGTTGCTGCAACATGTAGCGCTAATATCGTTGCTGTTGCGCCTGCGCATTGTTGACTTTGTATAAACATGTTCATGCTCGTGCTTGTGTCGCATAAAACTGGGGCAAAAACACTTCGGCTTGGCGCCCATTGTTGTTGCTGCTGCTGCTGCTGTCGTTGTTGTTGTCGTCTCTGTCTTACTGTTTCTGTTGCTGTTGTGCATTCTGTTGTGCGCATTGTAGCTGGTGAATTTTGGCAACGGCGGCATCTTGGCCAGCTCGTTGGCCAAACGCTTATTGCTTTCGATTATATTCCTTAGTATCTCGTCACCATTGTCGGCATCGCCAGCAACATTGTCAACAGCAGCAACATGCGCGTCCATGGGCTTGGTTTCATCTACAATTTCCACATCAGGCGGCAAAGTGAACACGCTTTCGCCTGCGCTTGTTGTTGCTGCAGTTGTTGTTGTTGTTGTTATTGGCATCGAATGTGCGTTTATTGCAGTTGTTGTTGCTGTTGTTGCGGTGATTGCTGCTGCTGCTGCTGCAGTGGTTGTTGTTATTGTTGTTGGCATCGCATAATCTAAATTTAACAAATGTCAGAGCGACGCAGGCAGGCAGCACAAAAGAGGTTTGAAGAAGTTAATCCAGTGTCAAGCTCTGGGTAGATGTTGTTGTTGTTGTTGTTGTGTTGTGTTGTGGTTAACGAATCTCAAAACAAAATTAATTGCACTAGGTGTGGCAAAATTAATATTTTTTTGACTATTTGCTTTTTTTTTTTTTTTTTTTTTTTTTTTTTTTGCTTGGGGCTGGGCTTTTATTCTTTATTGCTTTGTATTTTTTTTTTATAGAGTAAAGATCGATTATACATAGGTGATAATGCTACGGTTGATGAGATCTGTAAAATTGTCATTGCTCATTGCTTAAGTCTAAGACGAGCTAAACGATTCGGTTTACAACTACTAATGGGTATTTAATATAGGTGGATTGCATATAAATATTGCAGTCAGTGCCCGAGAGTTGCTATCAAAATAGTTAGCTTTAAAATGCATTTAATAATTACTTGTGCTTATAGGTCGTATCCTCTAATTTGCCGGTTAAGGTCTTACACTCGGCCGTCAATTTATCCATGAGTTGCTTCTGAGACGTTATCATTGCTTCGAGCTCATTTACCGTTTCCGCTACNAATCTCAAAACAAAATTAATTGCACTAGGTGTGGCAAAATTAATATTTTTTTGACTATTTGCTTTTTTTTTTTTTTTTTTTTTTTTTTTTTTTGCTTGGGGCTGGCCATGAATTTCATATTGCGCTGTGTTCAATTTTCATAGAGTAAAGATCGATTATACATAGGTGATAATGCTACGGTTGATGAGATCTGTAAAATTGTCATTGCTCATTGCTTAAGTCTAAGACGAGCTAAACGATTCGGTTTACAACTACTAATGGGTATTTAATATAGGTGGATTGCATATAAATATTGCAGTCAGTGCCCGAGAGTTGCTATCAAAATAGTTAGCTTTAAAATGCATTTAATAATTACTTGTGCTTATAGGTCGTATCCTCTAATTTGCCGGTTAAGGTCTTACACTCGGCCGTCAATTTATCCATGAGTTGCTTCTGAGACGTTATCATTGCTTCGAGCTCATTTACCGTTTCCGCTACAAAGAGTAGACAGACAGACAGATTGTTGTGGGTTATTAGTGAATGAAGTGCGAGTATATTGAGTATCATTATGGGTAAGGCAAACTCATGGATAAACTATTGACGTTAAATACATATAGTATATATATATATTTTTTTTGGATAGGTTTGATCGGTAATTCGAATTAGAGACAAGTAGAGAATGAGAATGTTCACCGCACACAATATGAAAATCAATAGCTCAACCAGAGTTTAGAGAATGTGTTCAATTAGCAAGAGTCGGTGCTTGAGAAAGGTTTAATCAAATCAGAAATCATCTAATTGTGTGGAGAATTCGTACTTGACTAGCAATATGAAACGTGTGCACATACCATGCTTTTCCTGCATCTCTGAGATGCGTTTGTCCAAATCCTTTTTGGTTGGACGTATTTCGTTCTTTAGCTCCCCGTAAGCGAGCTGCAAAAAAAACATTTTCAATTTGGAGCCATCGCAGTTAGATTAGACTGTCAATTACCTCCTTCTCCAAGTTGGCAATCTCATCGTTGAGGCGCAGCACCTCGCGCTTCGAGTGCAACAGATCGGCGTCGCCACGATCCAGACGCTGTCGCAGCGAGTTGATCTCCGCCGTCAGACGAGCTGCCTCCGTCTTGGACTCCCGGGCCGCACGATCCAGCTGCAGGCGCAGCGAGGTAATCTCCTGCTCCAGCGACTGCTTCTCGGCATTGGCCTGGGCCATGTCGGCAAGGAAAGTTGTGCGATTGGCGCGCAGCTCCATCTTGAGCTCCTCGATCTGGGAATTGCGGCTGGCCACATCGCGCTTGAGATCGGACTCATAGCGCTTCTGGCGCTCCAGCTCCAGCTGCAGCTTAGCCACCTGCTCCCACTGGCTGCTCAGATCACCGCCCAGCTGATCCACCTGGCTGTTGTAGCGCCGCTCCGCACTGGCCCGCTCATCAGCCAAGCGGCGCGCCATCTCATGTTGGAGCTCCCGGACGCGTTCGTGCTGCCTGTCCAGCTCATCTCGCAGGTGGCGCACCTCCAGCTGGAAACGAGAAATGGAATTGAGGACATATAATAGGATATATCATAGCTCTCCACTCACCTCCGCCTGGGATCGCTCCATTTGCACCAGATCCGTGATGTAGCGCTTCGAACTGGCATTGTTGTGCTGCTGCTGTGACTTGGCCTCGTCCAGCATGCGTTGCAGCTGGCGCACCGACTCCTCCAGGGCGGTCTTGTCCTGCTGCAGCAGCTCCAGCTGCTTGCGATGCGTCTCGCAGTTGACGCTGCCCAACGTGGCGACAGCGCTGAGCGGATCCGTGTGGGCCAGCTTGCGCTTGAGCTCCTCGTTCTCGGTCTTCACGCGCTTCAGATCGATGTTGGCCTGCATCAGCTCTGCCTCCAGCTCGCTGATGCGTGCCTCGTAGACAATGTTGGGCGCACTGGCGTAGCGTGGCGATTGCGGCGACTTCAAGTTGCTCTTGCGCGGCGTGGTTGGAGTCTTGCGGCCCGCATAGAGCAAGTGCTCGTCGCTGTCCGAGGAGGGGCTCGTTGTGGTCTGCGGCAGTTGAGCCGAAGGCTTGGAGGTGCCGCTGCCAAGCGCTGCCAGCTCAGTGCGCGCATTCTCCGTCAGGTGCTCGTTCTCGTTGATGACATCCTTCACCTTGCCCAGCAAATTGGTCAGCTCGCTGCGACAGTACTTGGACTCCTTTTCGAGCTGCTCGATGTAATCCTCTTGCTTCTCAATGAAGTTGAAGATCTCGACCGGGGCCTGGACGCTATCCGTGGGCAGCGGAGGCGCAGTTATGGTGGTCGGATAGAGAGCTGGAGGCGTGGCTAAGTTCTCCTTGGACGCCGAGAGGTAGCCCGAAGTGTAGCTCTTCTTCGGCCGGTAGGTGCTGATGCGTGACTTCTGGCTGGGCGACAAGTACTTGGAAATGTCAGAGAAGACGGGTCGTTCGATGACCTGAAGCCAACATTGGAGTTATGAACAAATGGAATAAATAATTTAGATAAATCTAATTAGACCTACCGACAAATTGTCCGAGAAATTATCGCCTGAGTCCTCGTTGAAGTTGCGTAAATAGGCCGAGGAGCTGCCCAACCCTTTGGGCGTGGCCGTATAGGAGTTGTCGGCCAGCATTACCTTCAGGCGGCCCACGGCCTCGTTATACGCATAGTTTGTATAGTCCATGGTCTTGCTCTTCTTGCTAATGCCCTTCGAGGACTTCATCGAGAAATTTCTAAAGTTGCGAACAGAAAAAACACAACACTCTTGTACTCTACATCTATGAGAAATCACATCCTAAACAGTTCTTTGAAAGCAGTTTGTAAAAAATGTATCCCTAGAAGAGCGCATGGTGCGCGAGCTGGACAAGAACTGAGGCTGGCCCCGTGCATTGGGGGTGACAAATGCAGTGCTTGTGCCATGGACTGTCGCTTGGTTGCCGGGACAACAAGTTGGCCAAAATACAAATGTGTTTAGTCCTATTCTAACCCTCTGTACGCACACACAAGGATATTTTTGACCATGTGTGCACACGATACGGTTCAGTGGACCCGCCTTGTTTTCCTTCTTTTCTCTATACTGGGTATTTCATGTTGAGTTCATGTTCATATTACGATTAGTCTAAATATGAAAAATTTATAATGCATATATATTATATATAGTAAATATAGTATATGTAAATATGTATGTATTCACCATGAAAACTAAAATGCTACTAAAATGAGAACTTTAATTTCTAATTCGCTTATATGGAATATGTACTTTATTTATGTATTTTTTATATTCCTCTTCGAATTCAAAACAAACTTTTATAGTTACATATTGTATTTGCATATATTGTATATATTTATATTGTAGATCCATAAATTTATAATGCATCTATATATATTTTATATCTGCAAGGGTATGTAATATTCAATACGTTTAAAGTGATACCCCTTTCTTCGATATAGAACATAACGAGGGTTGCTAAATCTACTCTCTGACATGATAATAGTTACGTAAATATTTCTTTTGCATTCCAATTTGCACAATTTAATATTTCCTTAATTGAAGCATTTGGTATACAAGACCTTAAGTTATATTAAACATTGTTTTTGTTTGAAAAAATTCGGTCTAAATTAAAGGCATATAGTACATGTGGAAAAGATATAAAAAATAACTTAGCTTAAATATTTGGATAGAAAAAAAATATTTTTTACATATATACTTAAAAAAA